ATACTGGTAAAGCATAACCAAAAAATAACAAATCTAGTTAAATACTATTTACAAGAGATAAACCTAAAATATAAGGAAAGAAATTAAAGGATAAAACTATATATACCGGTGTATTAGGTTCCTAAGGCTTCTCTAACAAAATATGTTCCACAAATGGGGTGGCTTAAAACAACAGAAATGTATTGTCTCACAGTTCTAGAGGCTAAAAGACTGAAACCAAGATGTTGACAGGGCCATGCTCCCTCTGAAACCTGCTCAGAGAATCTTTTCTTGCCTGTTCCTAACTTCTGGTGGTTTGCCAGCAATCCTTGGCATTCCTTGGCTTATAGTTGCAGCACTTCAATCTTTGCCTCCATCACCCACAGCATTCTCTCCTCATGCATCTCTGTATCTCTTTTCCTCTATGATCTCCTTTTATTACCCCAGTCATACTGGACTAAGGGGCCCACCCGACTCCAGTATGACCTCATCTTAACTTACACTTTAATTACATCTGCAAAGACCCTATTTCCCAGCAGGGTCACAACCACAGGTGCCAGAGCATTCATCTTACCTTTTCGAAGGACACAATTCAACCTACACTAGACAAACAGGAACCAAAAAGGCATTCTAGTAATGCCTACTAAATATTGTCAAACAATGTACTAGATGAGAAAAAAGGGTAACACAGTAGGACTAGTTAGAGATTACTGGAGTAGTTAGGGTAATATAATGCTAGTTTGATCATGTCTATGGAACAAGGGAATGTCAAAATTTTAAGCAGTAGGAAGTAAAACTGACAGAATTTCACTGGATAACCAGACAAGGGAGACAAAGATAACTTAGTAGGTTTCTGGCTTGTGAAACTTATTGGAATATTTTGGCAACCTCTATCTTCTAGCCAGTTATTTTCTAAAATATAAATATCAATTCTTTTTATAATCTTCACTAACTCCACAAGTTAGTCCTAATTATTTACTCTGGCTTTACTCTTGATACTCTTTACTCTTGATCTATTGCAGTCTGGTTCTGGCCTATTTATTCCAACCTCCAGTGCCACACGGTAAACTCTAGTTATTCAATAAATGTTAAATGTGATTTCATAACCCCTTTCAGATTATATTTTATGTCTTGAATGCATGTATTTACAAACTTCTATTCAAATAAACCATTTTCTTTGGAAACTTCTTAGTGCTATAACTGACAATTAAAATATTTTTATATGTAATATAAGATTGTCTGGGCTCCTGGAGTATTTTATTCACACTGACAATGCAGCACTTGCCACTCTGGGCACTCAAGCTACTTATATCTTCAGAGTAGGACTTATCCATCTTTTTATCCCCAGCACCTACCATCCTAGTTTGCACATAATGGTTTTCAATAAATGCTTACTGAACAGTGATTAATCAGTTATAACTAGCACTGCTTCTTACTATGCTGAAAATCTAAAAAGTAAATGGAAGACAAGTAGGGTAGTGATTACTTTTATAAATTAGATCCTGAAAAAGATGAATAAAGGTCTTTGTTTCTTAGTAATGAATTCATGTAATTTACAGTTAATTTATTCTAAAATCCCTTGGGACTATGTAATATGGCCGATACTCTCTCAAATATACCCATATTCAGACGTCCAAGCAATTTTTAAATTTAAATAATACATATTCCAGCTCTACTTATAAAAATTACAACAGTACCCAAAGGGGTAAATTTGATATTTGAGAAGCTCATAAAATTGTACAATGGTCAGTGAAAATATTCTTGATACTTACATATAATTTAAATGATCAATTTTCAAATAAATTAAAATGAAAATATAATGTACATTTATAAAAAGCTACATAATCTAGACTGCCTTTGATTACTAAAAACCTGCCTGATACTTGCAATGGCTTCTGTGTATCAATATAAACATGAAGTATCTTTGAGCTGTAGATATAGAAAATTTCCAGTTTATGGAGGTTTCTAATTAAAAGAATATAAGGTGGCAATTTATTATAAATACAATTGTTAAATCTGCAGCATTTACATTGGACAATGATGATATAGTATATGCGCATTTAGAAAACGTAAAGCTTAAATTGCTGCTACACAGTGATATGCATTTCCTACAATTTATAATTTTTAAAACAAAGGTAATAATAGGTGCCAATGTAATAAAGTTAAATATTGAAATCAACCACTAATACCACTACTATATGTAGCTTTGCAAAAAACCTTGGATCATTATTGTTCATACTATCCCATTATTTAACACTTGGAAGTCCAGTTTGCTAAGATACTTTTCTGATGAACACAAAGAACAAGATAAGCTCCCCCTATACCCCCCCCATATTTTCTCCCATGAGATTCAAAGCTTAATATGAGTTCCATTTTCTAGAGATAAAAGGACTGCCTTAACAATGATGTGCCCTAGCTTTCTTTTTACAATAAATTACCATATTTATATTTTGAAGCTGTCATATGCTTGAGGATATTAAATATCCTGCTGCCATAATTAACTCTTTAAACCAAATTAAATGGCTTGGTTCAAAACAGACTGTGAAAGTTAAAAGAATGTAATTTTATTACTAATTTTTTTGCAATTATTTTAATAATCAAAGCTAGTTAATTTATTCCATAATTGATTTTAACTGAGAAATGCACAGTTGCTCAAATCTTTCCTCTTTTTACCCTTAAGATATAAACAAAAATTTGAATGCACAGTGTTTAGCAATAAATACGTGGTAACTTCATAAGTACCTCAGGCCAATCCTAACACAACAAACTGTAGCAAATTGCTAATTTAAAAAATTCCATCCATAATTATGTCAGATATAGGCCACTGGACTACAACATAAGTGTTTCATTTTACTAAGGCTTAGTAATAATTTAATTTAAATAAATGTTTCTGCAGTAGACTAATGTAATATCACAGAAAATAACTCCCCTTTATGAATACAATACAAACTTAGGAAATCTCTATTTTTCAAGGACAATATATAGGTTTCTGATGATCTAAAGACATTATAAAAATTCTAAAAGCAAACATGTTTCTTATACTATCTAAAAAAAAAGTTTCTTAGAAAAAAATAAATAGAAATAACAGCATTAGTAATTTTTACAATGTTAATAAATACATAAATCCATGATAGCTATTGTAATGTCACCTTTTATTTCCCCCCAACATTAAGGTAATACTTTTTTTGCAAATTAATCCATAACAAAAAGATTTCTGGTCATGAAAAATGACTACATAAGCATACTTGTTAAAAACATTATGTGAAAATACACTTGAACTGAGAGAAAATTTCTGGGGGAAAAAATAAAGTCAAGGAATCAATAAGCACCAGAGCCAGTTAAAATAGGGATGAGTTTAATTGTTAAAAATCTGATTTTATAATTAAAACAAATTCCAACAAAATGTTTGAAATATATGTAAAGAAAAAATAAAAACACAATGCACATTACTTATATCCAAAGTCACAAATTATACTGACAGAGAGCAAGAGAAGCAGGCGGATGACTGAAGAGCAAACTGAATCTCTAGTCTTATACACAAGAGGCTCAAAAGACAGTCTCACTCTAGGTCAGAACTGTAGGAGAATATGGGTTTAAAGGCCTTTGACAAACTTAAGGATGAGACAAGATAAGTTAAAATAGCACATACACTATTAGACCACAAGGAAAATCTCTACTCCTTCTGTTATGGAGTGGATGTTTAGGTTCTCAAAGTTCTTATGTTGAAATCTAATTCCCAATGTCAAGGCATTCTGAGGTAAACCTTTGGGAGGTTTTACCCTCATGAATAAGTTTAGTGCCCTTATAAGGATACAAGGAGAAGTGAGCAATCCAGAAGAGGCCCTTTCCCTCAGGCTTTCAGCCCCCAGGCTGTGGGAAATACATGTTTGTTAAGCCACCCAGTCTATGGTATTGTTATAGCAGTCCAGCTGACTTACGGGGGAAGGGGAAGGGAGAAGGATTATTCAGGAACATTTTTGTGATCAAAATTTATAAAACAAGAAATTAAATAAAAAACAAAAATAAACAAATAATGAAAGTAAAAAAAAAAACAAAACATAAGAAAAAGACTACTTGAACATTAAAAAGATTAAGGGTCTTAGGAAGGTGATGATTTAAATATGTCTGACTCCTTATATGGAACTCCAAATTAGCAGCTTTTTAAGTCAACTGTCTTCTGAGGGTAAAACCTCCCAAAGGTTTACCTCAGAATGTCATCATACTGGGAATTAGATTGGGAATTAAGGGCTCCCTAGCAAGAGAAGTGATTTGTGGTTTTCTCCTCCATACCCTAGAGAAAGAGCCCCAAGATGAAGACTAAAAATTAGCAAATTCTGGGAAGAGCACACCCCGCAAAAACCTGTGAAAATCCTAAAGATAAGGTGAACTGGACCAGGTGAGGAGCCTAACCTTCCTGGCCTGCTAGGAGCTAAGGCTGAAATGTCTGAGCTCTGAGATGGGAGAATGTACAGAGCAAGCACTGCAGGGAGGTTTTCCCCAGGTGTTTATTGCAGGAACCTAGAAGCTTCTACCTAACTCATGCACTGAGATAAAGAACACCTATTTTTCCATCTTGTGTGGACTGCCACCATTTACAGCACTCCAACAACCAGACTTGATCCCCAATCCTATATAATAAAACTGTAGTATGCAAACTGTCCCCTCGACCAGGAGTTCATCTGGGAGTTCGACCAGGGGGCAGGGCCAGCCGGGGGAAGGAAGGGAGTATCCAGCCCACAGCCAGCAGCTGCTAGGGACCCTACCAATGCATGAATTTTGTGCACTGGGCCTCTAGTAAGCCAATAAAGAAAAATAAGATCAAGGTAACCCAAGAAGAGATTTAAAAAACTACAAAAAACACCAAACTGACACTAGATTTCTCATCTTTATTACTGGAGCCAAAAGGCAATAAAAAAAGAGAAAACAACTGCACCTCAAGAATTCTATACTCAGGTAAGACATATTAACCTGTCAAGAAAAAGATATTTGCAGATATGCAAAAATTCAAAGTAATAACTTATGTGGCTCCATCTGAGAAAAATACTTAAGAAATTACTATCCAGTTTCAAGCAGGCGCCTAAAGAAATGTCTTTCTATGGTCTGTTGGCCATTTCAGAACTTAGGAAATGTAATGGTCAATTCATTAGAAAGAAACATCTGAGAAAAAAAAAGAAAAAGAAAAAAAAGAGAGGAGAAAAAAAAAAGAAAAAGAAATTACTATCCAACAAACAAATGAATCTGAACAAGAAAGTGAAAATGAGGGAAAAGAAAAAATGAATCTTGTAATATATAAATGCTGTTAAATTTAAATTAGATAAGGACAGAATAACTGGAAATGTTTAAGACCCTCCCCCCCCCAAAAAAAATATTCTTTAAATAAATCATGCATAGTTATAAGAGAAATTCTAAACCCAAAGCTCTGAAAAAAAAATCACTAAAAAAGACTTGTTTGACCTGGCCAGTGTGGCTAGAGGTTGAGTATTGACCTATGAACCAGGAGGTCATGGTCCGATTCCCAATCAGGGCACATGCCCAGGTTGTGGGCTTGATCCCCAGTAGGGGGATGTGCAGGAGGCATCTGATCAATGATTCTTTCTCATTATTGATCTCTCTCTCTCTCTCTCCCTCTCCCTTCCTCTCTGAAATCAATTTGTTTTTTTAATTTTAAAAAAAAAGACTTATTTGCAGTTCTCTCCACCCAACCCTTAAGAGAGACTATAGTCAAATACTGTGTTAAGTTATTTGGATTAGTTCTCTCCCCACCACCTTCAATATGATTCAAAGTAGAAATTTAACTAGTATTTAATCCATACAATATTCCCCAGAGATATCTACCAGGTAACAAGCTTCTCAATCATAAACTTAGAGAAATTGCAAGTTTCTAAGGAAAACATAGATTAAAACAAAGGACACAAGCAAAATGTTTTCACTGTAAACAATAATTTAAAATGAATAAATGTAAAAGTTAAACTCCAAAGAACCAAACAGTGAAACAAAGGTGATACCAATTTCTCTTTAGTAAATTAATAAGTGAAAGAAAGTAATTTGACTCCATTGAGGTCATAAGCAGATGTTTTAAAACCATTTGCCCCTCTTCTCCTACTACTCGCTCAGGTGCTTTAACTATGGTGTTTATTTTTGGTAAATGGTCTGGGAAAGCATTTATCTTAAAATATGTTTGGATGGCGAGAATATTTTCAAATAAGATAACCAAAGCAGTTACTCTGGGCCAGTTGCTAAAAGATGAAAATAGCCACTGTTAAAGCCCCAGCTATAGTTAAACAGCTTAGTCATTAGGCATCAATACTAATAAAAGCCTAGGTGATCGTCATGCCCCCACATCATCACAAGATGGCTGCCCCCACATTGTCATAAGATGGCCGCTCCCGGAGAAACTAAGATGGCAGCATAGATAAACACCGGGAAATTGCTGCCTCCCACAACAATTGAAAAATCTTCTAGGAACACAAAATGGACATCATCCAGAACTACAGGAAGGCTGGCTGAGTGTAAATTCTACAACTAGAAGGAAAGAAAAGCACGCTGAGAGCCAGAGGAGCTGCGGAGGTGGAGTGCAGAGGTACGGGGGCTCGCGCGCGGAAAGAGGCTGGCACCTGAGGACGCAGCTGTCTTTTTGAATCCGGAGGGAGTCACAAGCTCCCGACGGCTCTGAACTCTGGTTCCGGGAAGTCTCTGGGGACCCAGGACTCATATGGGGAGAAACTGGACTGTCTGGCAGCGGGCAAACTTGAGGGTGGCTTTCCCTCAGAGGTGCTTGCAGCCTTACCGGGACACTGAGACGCGCGACTCCTTAGGGCAGGGCTAAGGATCCGCCATAGCTGCTTGTTCCGCCCTTTGATTCCTTGAGACCCCGCCCCACCCAGGCTTGGGCAGAGGCTTTTGCATATGAATGCCCCGGCCCTTTGCAATCTGATAATTACCTAACTGCAGCCGGGCCAGACAGACCCAGAACTTCCAAGAGGAGGCCCAAGGCCCCACAGCGGCTTGCACTGCTTCACAGCTGAGCCTCCTCAGGGCACCTCCAAACTCCAAAAAAGGAAGGGGAATCTGCAGTTCTCTTCGTAGCTCCTGCTGTGTAACCTCAGGCAGAGGCTAAATTAGCACCTCCTTAGATCCAAGAGCCACTGTACCCAGTGGTCAGAGGGGGACCATCCAGATCACAACTCCTCAGATCCATAAGGGACACACTCAGGGGGCAGACTCAGTGAGCACCAAAACCCCACTGAAGCAAGTCTTGCCCCAGAAGGGTGTCTCCAGCACAGAAGTTCTCCCACTGCAGACACAGCTGATTCTCACTGCCAATTGGCCTGGAGGTCAATTCCTCCCAGTGATCCTACAACAACCAAGGCATAACTACAACAACACTGTGCACAAAGCCCACAAGGGGGTGCACCAAGAGTGTCCACCTCAGGTAACTGGGGAGGCTGAGCCACTGGGCCCTACAGGACACCTAGCACACAAAGCCACTCTATCAACACAGGGAAGCAGCCAAAATGCGGAGACAAAGAAACAGGTCACAAATGACAGAAATGGAGGAAAGCAAACAACTGGATAGAGTTCAAGGCCACGTTTATAAGGTTTTTCAAGAATTTTATGGAAACCGCTGATAAATTTAGTGAGTCCCTCAATAAGTATAGTGAGACCCTAGAGGACATGAAAAAGGACCAACTAGAAATTAAGCATACACTGACTGAAATAAAGAATAATTTACAGAGATCCAACAGCAGACAAGAGGATCCCAAGAATCAAGTCAAAGATTTGAAATACAAAGAAACAAAAAATACCCAACCGAAAAAGAAAAAAGAAAAGAGATTCCAAAAATATGAAGATAGTGTAAGGAGCCTCTGGGACAACTTCAAGCGTACCAACATCAGAATTATAGGGGTACCAGAAGAAGAGAGAGGGCAAGATATTGAAAACCTATTTGAAGAAATAATGACAGAAAACTTCCCCTACCTGGTCAAAGAAATAGACTTATAAGTCCAGGAAGCGCAGAGAACCCCAAACAAAAGGAATCCAAAGAGGACCACACCAAGACACATCATAATTAAAATGCCAAGAGCAAAAGACAAAGAGAGAATCTTAAAAGCAGCAAGAGAAAAAAAGTCAGTTACCTACAAGGGAGTACCCATACAACTGTCAGCTGATTTCTCAACAGAAACCATGCAGCCCAGAAGAGAGTGGCAAGAAATATTCAAAGTGATGAATAGCAAGAACCTGCAACCAAGATTACTTTATCCAGCAAAGCTATCATTCAGAATAGAAGGTCAGATAAAGAGCTTCACGGATAAGAAAAAGCTAAAGGAGTTCATCACCACCAAACCAGCATTATATGAAATGCTGAAAGGTATTCTTTAAGAAGAGGAAGAAGAAAAAGGAACTCTTACCATTTGCCACAGCATGGATGGAACTGGAGAGCGGATAAATACCACATGATCTCACTCATTTGTGGAATATAATGAACAACATAAACTGATGAACAAGGACTGATCCAGAGACGGAGAGGCATAGATTGGACTGTCGGGCCTTGGAGGGAAGGTAGGGGAAGGTGGGGGTAAGGGGGAAAGATCAACCAAAGGACTTACATGCAAGCATATAGGCCTAACCAATAGACACGGACAACGGGGGGGTGAGGGCATGAGGGGGGGTGGTAGAGGGTAACGTGGGGACAAGGACACATATGTAATATCTTAATTAATAAAAAATATATAGAAAAAAAAAAAAAAGATGGCCGCTCCCGCCCTGACCAGTTTGGCTCAGTGGATAGAGCATCGGCCTGTGGACTGAAAGGTCTCAGGTTCGATTCCAGTCAAGGGCATGTACCTTGGTTGCAGGCATATCCCCAGCAGGAGGTGTGCAGGAGGCAGCTATCAATGTTTCTCTCTCATCCATGTTTCTGACTCTCTGTCCCTCTCCCTTCCTCTCTGTAAAAAATCAATAAAATAAAATATATTTAAAAAAAAAAAAAAAAGATGGCCACTCCCATGTTGTCTCAAGATGGCCACCACAAAGATGGCTGGCAAGGGAGGGCAGTTGTGGGTGATCAGGCTGGCAGGGGAGAGCACTTCAGAGCAATCGGGCCGGCAGGGGAGCAGTTGGGGGCAATTGGGCCGGCAGGGGAGAGCAATTGGGAGCGATTGCACTGGCAGGGAAGCAGTTAGGCATCAATCATGCCAGCGGGGGAGCAGTTAGGAGCCAGCAGTCCTGGACTGTGAGAGGGATGTCCCAGATTGGAGAGGGTGCAGACTGGGCTAAGGGACACCGCACCACCCCAGTGCACGAATTTCATGTACCGGGCCTCAAGCAATACATAATAATATTGGTTACATTGGTGTTTTATCTCTAGTTTCACTTATTTAAAATAATTTTTAATAAAATGTAAATATAAATAAAAGTCAAACATTTCATTCCAAAATAGAGGCAGAGGGAGAAAAAAAGAAAAAGGCTTTGCTCAGAGAAGTAAGACTTTTCCCTCATGAAGTTTTTATTAGCTATATTCGTGCTGACTCAATCTTTTCTTATGCAAGAACATTTTTTTCAACACTCTAGATATTTTACCACTATAATTTCTTTCTTAAAAATAACAACACCAGTTCAAATAAGCATGAGAAATAGAATTCACCATTCTATCTTTTAAATAAACCTGAGCAAAAGAAAAAAAACTCTAGTCAGCAGAGTTAAGAGGACTTTTTATTTCATATATTTTCTACATAATGTAAAATTATGTAGTCGATTCTACTTATTTCGTCATGCTTACTATTAAGCTAACATTTCTCAACTTAAAGTGCAACCTGATTTTGTTAAGATCTGAGCCCCTTGACAGAAGGAAAAGAGGCCAAGTCCCCTTGAAAAAGGACCTCGAAACACTGCCACGAGTATAAACAAGGATTATTGCATAAATTTGCTGTTGGCAAACTACAGCCCACAGAACATATCTCACCTGACACATTTCTGTAAGTAAAGTTTTATTGGAACACAGCCACGCTTATTCATTCACATATTGTCTATATACATTTCGCACTAGATTGGTGGAGCCCAGTAGTTGAAACAAAGACTATATGGCCAGCAAACCCTATAATTACTATCTGGCCTTTTACACCAAAAATGTGCTAAAAATTTCCCTCCAATTGTTCAAAGG